GTCTATTACTCAATCTGTTGCTAGTCATTCAAGTTCTTTTCCAGTTTGTCTTAATTTCAAACCATGTATTAATTCTCCTTGTACATATATTTTTAATATCAGAGTGGGCACATAATAGATAGTTACTGAACAGCAAACCGTGGCCCAGAATGGTATGAATGCCCTAAGTCATATTGTTGGTTGCCCCAATTTTATTTTTATTTTTTTAATTTTTAATTTTTTTTTATTTTAAAGATGTGGGGCAAAATTCAGGGTTAGGTATACAAATGTTTATTTATGCAGGTACCCTTGTTGATGAGGTGTGCCCTTCCCTCCCCTGGTAATTTCCCTCAACTGTCAATCCCTTTCTTATAGTATTATGGTAATTGTTCAAGGTTTGCTTTTAAGTGAGAACATATGGTACTCTGTTCTTTGTTTTTGTGATAGATCACTAAGTATGATAGACTCTAAATCCATCCAAGTTGCTGTGAAGTCCATATTTTGTCCTTGTAATGGCTGCATAATATTCCATCGAGTATATGTACCACATTTTTTTTATCCAGTTCAGCTTTGATGGGCAGCATGGTTGGTTCCATGTTTTTGCTGTTGTGAATAGAGCTGCAACAAACATGCCTGGGCAGGTATCTTTTTTGTAGAATGATTTGAGTTCTTCTGGGTATATTCCCAATAGGGGAATTGCTGGGCCATATGGAAGGTCAATTTTTAGTTCGTTCAGAAATCTCCACTGTCTTCCAAAGAGGTTGCACTAGTTTGCATTTCCACCATCAGTGTAGAAACATTCCTTTTTCTCTGCATCCTTTTCCAGTGTCTGTTGTTGTTTGTTTTATTAATGGTGGCCATTCTTACTGGGATTAGGTGGTATCTTAATGTGGTTTTGATTTGCATTTCTCTGATGATGAGTGAGACTGAGCACTTTCATGTGTCTGTTGGCTGCCTGTATATCTTCTTTTGAGAAGTGTCTATTTATGTCTTATGTTTTTTGCCTACTTTTTAATGGGACTATTTGTTTTTTTTCTTTTCAGTGCATTTGCATTCCTTGTAGATCCTAGATGTTAGACCTTTGTCAGATATACAGTTGGCAAATATTTTTCCCCATCCTGTGGTCTGTCTCCCTGCTCGCTTGATGGTTTCTTTTGCTTTGCAGAAGCTTGTCAGTTTGAGACAAGCCTATTTCTTATGGTATGGGCACTCAGCGTTTTGATCAGGAATTGGTTGCCAGTTCCAGTTACCATAAGGGTGTCTCCTGCATTTTCTAGGATTCTTATAGTTTGAAGTTTTGTGTTTGTATCTTTGATCCATTTAGAGTTAATTTTTGTGTATGGTGATAGATAGGAATCCTGTTTCAATCTTATGCATGTGATCAGCCAGTTTTCCCAGCACCATTTATTGAATAGGTTCTCCTCTCCTCAGTGATAGTTGTTGGTGACTTTGTCAAAGATGAATTGTTTGAGAAATTGAGGCTTTGCTTCCAGAATCTCTATCCTGTTCCCTTGGTCTATGTGCCTGTTCTTGTCCCAATACCAGCCTGTTTTGATTACTGTAGCCTTTTAGTAAAGTTTGATGTCTGGAAGTTTGATACCTCCTGCTTTGTTTCTTTTGCTAAGGATTGTTTTGGCTATCCATTGTCTTTTATGGTTCCATAAGATTTTCTGGATTGTCATTTCGAGGTCTGAGAAGAAAGATGTTGGTAATTTAATGGTTATTGCGTTGAATCTGTAGTTTGCTCTTGGTAGGATGGACATCTTAGCAATGTTGATTCTTCCTGCCCATGAGCATAGAATATTTTTCCATTTGTTTGTGTCTTCTTGGATTTCTTTGAGCAGTGTTTTGTAGTTTTCATTGTGCAGGTCTTTCACTTCTCTGATTAGGAAGATGCTGAGGTATTTCATTTTTTGTGTGGCTATTGTGAATGGGATCATGCTTTTTATTTGGTTCTCTGCCTGCTTGTTGGTGGTGTATAAGAATGCAAGTGTCTTTTGCACATTTATTTTGTACCCTGAGACCTTGCCAAAGTCCTTTATCACTGCAAGCAGGTTTTTGACAGATTCTTTTGGATTTTCGAGGTATAGGATCATATTGTCAGCAAAGAGGGATGCCTTGACTTCCCCTTTTCCTATTTGGGTACCCCTGATTTCCTTCTCTTGTCTAATTGCCCGAGCTAGGACTTCCAACACAAT